CAATTTGTAAACTTTTAGAATTGAAGAATGAAGAGTGGACCTTTAGCAACTTTCACATATAAGTTTTAGTGCACTAGACCCCTTGAATAATTAGTTATTAACAATTTTAGTACGTGATGTCGGGAACGATACCGCATAACGTCAAGTTCCTTTACGGTTTTTCATTAATTTCATAACTTTCTGCTAAATTCGTATGCAAATAACTATACGCATCTGAAAGACAACTCCATTAGCTACATTCTTCTATAATTTTGATGAACATGTTCGATCTAGTTGACGAGTTATTAAATATTATATGAGAGCGTTCCCTATACATCGTATGCGATAACAGTCAACTGTTATAAATAATTGCTAATATCTAATAAACCACAGGACTTAGAGCAACCAAACTAATTGGAGAATATAGATAAAGGTCTATTCTACATTCTTCATGCTTAAAAGTGCACAATTTATCAGGCATTTCTATTGAAATAATGAAAATGTGTTACGCTTGAATGCGACGGTTGTAATAGTCACCCAAAGAATATTTAATAACTATGAAATCACAAGAGAAATGTTAATGAAAATTAGATTAGAATGTAGCTAACGGAATTGCCTTTCAGATGCACATAGTTATTTGCATGAGAATTTGGCAGAAAGCTATGAAATGATTGAAAAACCGTAAAGGTATTAAACCCGTTTACATACGTCGTATTTAAGCGCAACACATTTTCATTATTTCAACAGAAATGCGTGATAAATTATGCACTTTCAAGCATGTAGAATGTAGAATGAACTTTTATCTATATTCTGAAATTAGTTTGGTTGCTCTAAGTTCTGTGGTTTATTAAATATTAGCAATTATTTAATATATTTAACTATATTCACATACGATGTATAGGGAACGCACTCATATAATGTTTAATAACTCCTAAACTAAACGAAATATGTTCATCAAAATTACAAAAGAATGTAGCTACTGGAGTTGTCTTTCAAATGCGTATAGTTGTTTGCATGCGAATTTAGCAGAAAGTTATGAAATTAATGAAAAACCGTAAAGGAACTTGACGTTATGCGGTATCGTTCCCGACATCACGTACTAAAATTGTTAATAACTAATTATTCAAGGTGTCTAGTGCACTAAAACTTATATGTGAAAGTTGCTAAAGGTCCACTCTCCATTCTTCAATTCTAAAAGTTTACAAATTGTAGATAAATTCAGAGATATTAGCAATTGTTTATAACAGTTGACCATCCTCGAATCCGACGGATAGGTGACTGCCGCTATAATGTTTAATAACTCCTAAACTAAAGCGAATATGTTAATGAAACTTATAGAAGAATATAGCTGAAGGTGTTGCCTTTTAGACGCGTATAGTTATTTGCATACGAATTTAGTAGAAAGCTACGAAATTATTGAAAAACCGCAAAGATACCTGACTATGTGCGGTATCGTTCCCGACATCACGTACTACGTCTGGTGACGTGAACTACGATTTTTTAATAGGAAAACATGATATAAACAGAGGTATTAGACAAGGAAAGCACTAGTGTGCGAGAAGGATAGAGAGAGAACGCTTCCTATTGGCTGAGGGCACCCAAGCTCGACCAACCACGGGCTAAACCTAGTCGGTCCGTGAAAAATCATTAATAACTCATTAATTACGATGATTCTGTGAACTTTTATTATTGAAGAATGAAGAGTGGACCTTCTGCAACTTTCACATATAGTTTTTAGTGCGCTAGACCCCTTCAGTAATTAGTTATTAATAATTTTAGTACGTGATGTCGGGAACGATACCGCATAACGTCAAGTTCCTTTACGGTTTTTCATTAATTTCATAACTTTCTGCTAAATTCGTATGCAAATAACTAGACGCATCTGAAAGACAACTCCATTAGCTACATTCTTCTATAATTTTGATGAACATGTTCGATCTAGTTGACGAGTTATTAAATATTATATGAGAGCGTTCCCTATACATCATACGCGAGAATAGTCGACTGTTATAAACAATTGCGAATATCTCTGAATCTATCTGCAATTTGTGAACTTTTAGAATTGAAGAATGAAGAGTGGACGTTCAGTAACTCTCACATATAGTTTTTAGTGCACTAGACCCCTTGAATAATTAGTTATTAACAATTTTAGTACGTGATGTCGGGAACGATACCGCATAACGTCAAGTTCCTTTACGGTTTTTCATTAATTTCATAACTTTCTGCTAAATTCGTATGCAAATAACTATACGCATTTGAAAGACAACTCCAGTAGCTACATTCTTTTGTAATTTTGATGAACATATTTCGTTTAGTTTAGGAGTTATTAAACATTATATGAGAGCGTTCCCTATACATCGTATGTGAGTATAGTTAAATGTATTAAATAATTGCTAATATTTAATAAACCACAGAACTTAGAGCAACCAAACTAATTTCAGAATATAGATAAAAGTTCATTCTACATTCTACATGCTTGAAAGTGCATAATTTATCACGCATTTCTGTTGAAATAATGAAAATGTGTTGCGCTTAAATACGACGTATGTAAACGGGTTTAATACCTTTACGGTTTTTCAATCATTTCATAGCTTTCTGCCAAATTCTCATGCAAATAACTATGTGCATCTGAAAGGCAATTCCGTTAGCTACATTCTAATCTAATTTTCATTAACATTTCTCTTGTGATTTCATAGTTATTAAATATTCTTTGGGTGACTATTACAACCGTCGCATTCAAGCGTAACACATTTTCATTATTTCAATAGAAATGCCTGATAAATTGTGCACTTTTAAGCATGAAGAATGTAGAATAGACCTTTATCTATATTCTCCAATTAGTTTGGTTGCTCTAAGTCCTGTGGTTTATTAGATATTAGCAATTATTTATAACAGTTGACTGTTATCGCATACGATGTATAGGGAACGCTCTCATATAATATTTAATAACTCGTCAACTAGATCGAACATGTTCATCAAAATTATAGAAGAATGTAGCTAATGGAGTTGTCTTTCAGATGCATATAGTTATTTGCATACGAATTTAGCAGAAAGTTATGAAATTAATGAAAAACCGTAAAAGAACTTGACGGTATGCGGTATCGTTACCGACATCACGTACTAAAATTGTTAATAACTAATTATTCAAGGGGTCTAGTGCACTAAAACATATATGTGAAAGTTGCTAAAGGTCCACTCTTCATTCTTCAATTCTAAAAGTTCACAAATTGTAGATAAATTCAGAGATATTAGCAGTTGTTTATAACAGTTGACCATACTCGAATCCGACGGATAGGAGACTGCCGCTATAATGTTTAATAACTCCTAAACTAAAGCGAATATGTTAATGAAACTTACAAAAGAATGTAGCTAAAGGTGTTGCCTTTCGGATGCGTATAGTTATTTACATGCGAATTTAGCAGAAAGCTATGAAATTATTGAAAAACCGCAAAGATACTTGACTATGTGCGATATCGTTCCCGACATCACGTACTAAAATTATTAATAACTAATTACTGAAGGGGTCTAGCGCACTAAAAACTATATGTGAAAGTTGCAGAAGGTCCACTCTTCATTCTTCAATTTTAAAAGTTCACAGAATCATCGTAATTAATGAGTTATTAATGATTTTTCACGGACCGACTAGGTTTAGCCCGTGGTTGGTCGAGCTTGGGTGCCCTCAGCCAATAGGAAGCGTTCTCTCTCTCTATCCTTGTCGCACACTGGTGCTTTCCTTGTCTAATACCTCTGTTTATATCATGTTTTCCTATTAAAAAATCGTAGTTCACGTCACCAGACGCGAGATGGCGTTACTCTCGCCCGCCAATTTTTCTGTCCTTGTCTATCCCTATTGCTTTCCTTGTCTAACACACGGTACTTTCGCTATCCTTATCTACACCTATATCTTTCCTTGTCTAACACACGGGACTGTTGCTATCCTCGTCTACCGCTATTCCTTTCCTTGTCTAACACACGGTACTGTTGCTGTCCTTGTCTACCGCTATTCCTTTCCTTGTCTAACACACGGTACTTTTGCTATCCTTGTCTACACGTATATCTATCCTTGTCTAACTCATTTCTCTAGTGTTATCCTTGCTTCTTGTCGCTATTGCTATCCTTGTCATCTCTATTATATTTAATTGATATTTATAATCAATTTCTAATTGTTTTAACATTACTAATAATGTAGATGGTTAAATAAAGATTCTGGTTTATCTTCAAGTAGTTTAATTATAGAATAATTACTGTTTCTTGTTAAATAACGATTTAGATGGTAGTTTATAATTATTGGAAGTGGTGAATAAAATTAATGTATATTTTAATTCAATAAAACAGTTTAATTTCTTGATTTCACGTTAAATTAACTATTACAGTCAGTAGATTAGTCAAAGATTGTTTGTAACTTTTATTAAAAATTAAGAAGATTCTTTTCGTATAAATTACAAACAGACCTACCAGGGAATCGTAGAAATCAAGGAAAATACTTGAACATCGGGAGAAATGAAGGAATGCGTTCGTTTATCAAAAAATAAATTATTTATTGTAAGATAACTGTACAAAACATATTTCACAAAAGGTTACAATATACCAATATTGTTTTACAACATTTTACCGTCTATTTTGCAAGAAACTCATTGTTTAAATAAGTGATTTAATTTGTGAAATAATCTCCTTTTACAGAAATCATTTGTTAAAGGCAAAATTGACACTGTGTAATTTTCATATAAAAATAGACAAAAAATAGAAACGTTAAAGTACATCGAGATTTTAGTAAATGGATAAAAAATATGGTCATAAAAGGTAGGAGAGTTAAGGCAAAACAATTCTAGCCGGAAATGAAATTTTAATATTTATTATGACCTGATAGCCTTTACTACATGAACTGTTACTCTGAATGCATTCATTGGAATTTAGTTGGTCATTCTGATGTAGTGCCGAGATTCTTCAGTTCGTGTTATTCGTCTTTCAGTTCGTATCGAATATATTCGAGCATGTTCTAGAAGAATGTTATACAAAGGGTATGTAGTAATTATTAAAGCATGTTTCACATCATAAATCGTACTCACATTAACAATACAAATATGTTTTATATACCTTTATACAAAGTCTATCATTTCACTTATACACTTCCAGTAACTTTTAAATTATCAGAAACTGTCATACATGAAAATTTCATAGTGATGTCGTAATATTACGCGCTCTCGATATATAATCGTTTGTTGTCGAAATACTTTTGTATTTGTTTGCCTGAAAATTTGAAAAAATATCGAATTCCCTAAATTACATAATTTAACGTATATGTATATATATATTTTACTTCGTTCCTAGAAAATTTACTTCACACGTTAAATTTCAATGTCAATTGTCAATATCATCAAACACTTCATAAATAAATGACAACGTGTAATTTATAAGTGATTCAAGAAACGTAATTTAAGTGGTGCACCATGTATATATAATTTTCACGTTTAAAAAAATGTCCGTCATGTTTCTCAAGTAAAAGTTGCGAATTCGTCGTAATTATCAAGTCTATGAAATAGCCGGTGTCTCGACGTAATAACGATGCAATCTGTATTCATGGATATCCATGTGTGATTATGTGTATATAATATATGTAGCGTAGAAGATAAGAAGAAATAGTCAGTATCTAGTCTAAATTAAAACGATTATCCATTTGTGAATTGTGATGCTTTTGTTATAGCAATCACTGTCAATGATTTAACAAAAAAAAAAAAAAACAGAAAAAGAACTAGATTTCACATAAAACTACTTTTAGGGTTAGAGTAATATTGCACACGTGCTAATAATTATTTTTTTCAGGAAAACTCTACAACAATTGGTCCAAAATGATCAACATGGATTTAGCAACGCTTCCATTTTCAACAGCATTGAACAATTTGTTCGATCAGTGAGTGAAATGGAAGACACAATTCTAATCCCCCGTCGTCTTCTAGATTCAACTATAGGCGACTCAGAGGATAAATTTAATTTGGAAGGCAAACGTGGTTCCATTATTAAAGCAACTTTGGCTAATACGGATCTGTACCGTCTTTATAACATTATTAGCCAACTGAAAGTGGAATTATTATGGTCACGGGAACACATGACTAATTGTCAAGAACTACAGGAGAGCCCTCTACCATTTGATAGATTCAGATACACTAGATGTTCTAGCACTACCTCGATATACAGTGTACAAAGTATATGCACTTCTGATTCAGAATCCGATATCGTGGTTGAGAATGACTTCAGATTAGAAAACGAAGACGCTGCCGTTGCTGCTGCTAGAACTTTCAAAAGACATTTGCATGGATTACATCGTGATATACAGAAAATGACATTGGCCGCTGAATATTTGACACTGCGATATCAAAAAGATATCAATGATCGTGTATAATTTTTTGAATAATTGACAAATATACTGAATCATTATTTATTGAAATATTTAAATTATATGCTGTTTCTGATATTAAACGAATTATTTTACGCATATTATCAATACCTATTTGACGTTTCCTTAGTTAAAATCGAAGTTTTACAATATTAAATATACATATAGGTACGATACTTTGTTCGTAATGTTCTTAGAAATAGCTTTTTAAGACAGTTTATT